CTGTCTGCAGCGGGGTGATTCGGTGTCTTCTGCGGGACTCAGGACCTCGGTAGGGCGTGCCGACAATAGTTTCTTAATGTCATCAAGTATATTATCAGTGTTTAAATTTCCCTGAATCATATTCTCTGTCTTCCTCTGAACAGTTTGTTTGAATCATGATTCAAAGAAAGAAGGACACATTGCAATTGGCTAATATGTACACACTCGCATTTGTTTCAGTGAGGAATTAATCTTGCTTAGTCCATGTTACCCCCTCTACTGTCCTTCCCATCCCACTTTTGCCCTTTGTAACTTGTTACTAAGTCATTTGTTCTGTAGAGTTCCTCAGTTTGTACAAATATTTTGGTTCTTGTATCTTCAGTGTATAGTCAAATTAATTCCTCTGTATTACCTCTAAACTGATAATTATATGTAGAGCCTTATCCTCCAGAGTCTTCCATAAAGGGAAATAATTGTTTTGAGTTGTTTGTTTATCCTGAGGTCACACCTGCTGCTTACATACCTCAACTTCTGTTCACATGGTGTTTGCTCAGACAGAGTCCTGTGGCCACCCTGACCTGCGAGGGATGCTGGGAGGTGTCCTCGAGCTGAGTGTATGGGATATTTGTCTGTCTATAATGGCATGCCACAGTCGTCAAGGTAATAGATGCAACCAACATCTCCCCAAATTTTCCTTGTGTCCCTTTGCTTATTTAATTATGTAAAAACAGTTAATGTGAGAACTATTCTCTTAACCAGTTTTGAAGTGCACAATACCATGTTGTTAACTATAAGCACTATGCTGTATAGCAGGCCTCTGGAATTCATTTATCCATCCTGTAGAGTGACAGCTCCCCATTTCTCCAAGACTCTGGAAACCACTGTTACATTCTCTGTTTCTTTACTCTTATAGATACCTCATGTAAGTGAAATCATATTATATTTGTTTTGTTGTGACTGGCTTTTTTCACTTGGCATAATGTTCTCTGGGTTTGCCCACATTATTGCACATGACAAGACTTCTTTCCTAAGGCTGAATTGACATTGCATTTATGTATATACGATGTATATACAATGTATATACCATATCTTCTTTACCCACTCATCTCTCAATGGATGAATGGATTATTATCCTATCATGACTATCTTGAATAATGCTGCAATGAATGTAGAGGGCAGATGTCTCTTTGAGATTTTGATTTGAATTCTTTTGTATATATGTCCACAAGTGTGATTGCTGGATCATACAGTAATTCTATTTGTAACTTATTAAGAAAGCTCCACACTGTGTTTCCATAATTGCTACACCATTTCACATTCACCAACATTTTTTTCTCCACACATTTGTCAATACTTGTCTTTTCAGCCATTCTAACAGATGAAGTACTAACTCATTGCAGTTTTGATTTTTATTTTCTTTTCTTTCTTTTTCTTTCTTTCTTTCTTTCTTTTTTTCTCCCCCCCCCCTTCTTTCTTCCTTTTGTGGAACCTGGGATTGAACTCAGGACCTTGAGCTTGCCAGGCAGGTGGTGGAGCCACTGAGCTAAAACTCTGGCCCCTAGAGGTTATTTTCTTTCACAACAATTGATTTTTGACTGAAACTTTTACTTAGAGAAAAAAATGGGGGTTGGGCACAAAATACACTTACCTTATTGGGGATTTGCTTATTCATTCCTTCTCTATGGAGCACACTTAAGTGCCAGCCCTGCAATAGGGTCAGGGTCCATAGGTGAGTAACACGAGAAACTCACTCTGGAAGCTGGCAGTGAGAGGTAGAAGCAGTGTGGACCAGGGTAAAGACGCTTGGACACAGAAGAACAGTGTGTGCATGGCAGGGCGGGGGGGAGCAAGAAGGAAGGGTGGTAAGATGGGCAAGAATGAGTGTAGGGCTGCAGATAGGATATCAGGGAAAGCATAGTGAGGTTGTATGCAGTGACACTCTAATGAGTCACTGAAGGCTGATTAGCAGTTAATCAGACAGACAGGGGAAGGACTTTTCCTGGGGTCCCTTATGTGGGGATAATGTGTGGATGGGAGGGAAGTTGGAAGCGTGACATTTTGGGGACATGATGGTACAATGAAGAGGGCTATGCATGTAGGGATGCTCAAGTGGGGCTGAAGGTGGGACTGGGGGCGCTGGCAGGGTCTGGACCCCAAGGGTTGAGGATCCATGTTAAAGATATGGGGATTCCTCCCCAAAGCTTCTGACTGCATCACCCAGGGGAAGGAATGGCTATGGAACTGTTATGATTTAGATCAAATATGTGCCCCAAAAATCTCATGTGTTCAGAGGTAGGGGTTTGAAAGATGATTGGATCATGAGGGATTAATCCATTGATGAGTGCATAGCTGAATGCTGTTACACGGTGGGGCCTAGTTGGAAGAGGCCAGTCACTGGGGCCATGACTTGGAAGGGTATATTCTTGTCCTTGGCTCCTGCCTTCTTTTTCTGTTTTCTGGTTCACATGAGATAAGCAGCTTTCCTCCCCCAGGTCCTTCCACCATGCCATTTCTGCTTGGAGACTGACTGTGCATGGACTGAAACTATGACCAAATAAACCTTTCTTCCTCTATGTTGTGGGTATTGGGTATTTTGTCCAATGATGGGAAAGTAGCTAATACAGTCACCCTGGACTGTGAGCTGGCAGCCTGATTCTGGGTCCAAACATCAACCCTCTGATGCACATGGCCCACTTTCCTGTGCTCAACCTTAGTTTCTAGATCTGTAGAACAGGGAGGATGAATTGGATGGAACATGATGGCTATTTTGGAGTCAGAGAGCCTGGGTTCAAATCCTATCTCCAGCCTTTATTAGCTGTTATTTACTCTGTGTGGCTCTTAGTGGGAAAGCTAGGAATAATAATGACAGAAACCACACTGAATTCTTATGGGAATTAAATGAGAGAACTCCTATAAAGTATTTATTACGACTGTGCTGAGACTTGAGTATTAATTGCTCATTGTGTGGTGGCTGATACTGTTATATTAAGTGATTCGTATTAATAAGCACCATTTGGATGTCACAACTTTTGAGGTTGTTGGAGACCCCATGGTGCTGTCCAAAGAGGGGATGTGGAGGGAACCCTGGTGGGCAGAGCTCCATATGTCCTTCTGTACACTACTAGAGCAACCTTCTTCCAGGAACATTTATGTGAAAATCAAATTGTCGGCCTGAGTGAGAAAAACACTGCACTATATGACATCTAGGTTTCTTGTGGAATAAAAGTTCTGTGGTTTTAGGAGTAACAATTGTGGAGAGCTTCAGTCACTTTTTGCTTCACAGCTCCTCTTTCTCCTTTCCCAGTATGATTCACTCTCCCATCCCCAACTGTCCCATACCCAGAATAGCTCCCATTAAACATTTATCTTTACTCATAGCTACAGTTACTATGGCAACCTTTAATCAACCTTCTGATAAGATCAATCCCATGAAGAGGTAATATCTGTTAACAGCTGCACATTTGTTTTTTACTCTTAAAGGAAAAGGTCTAAACTGGGTGTGGTGCATGCCTGTAATCCAGCACTCTGGAGGCTGAGGCAGGAGAACCACAAGTTTGAGCCCAGCCTGGGCAACTTAGTGACTTAGTGAGATTTTGTCTCAAAACAATAAAAAAAGGGGAGGGGGATATAGTTCAGTGCAAAGGCCCTGTGTTCCTGCAATCCCTAGTACTGCCAAAACAAGAACAAACAAACAAAAAGCCCCAACAACAACACAAAAAACAGACTCAGGCTTTGGTGGGGGTGCATTTGGGAAAGAGGAGCCTTTCAGCTTTTATTCTGTCAGCAGCTGCTGCCTCAGCTGCTATGTGCAAGGTGGATTTGCCCTTTTCCCAGCACAGGTCCCTCTGTGTATACAGAATTGAGCTGAGTGTGTGTGATCCAGGTGTCAGTGTTTACTGTGGCTGGTACAGCTCTGAGCCTCATTTAATTAAGTCTGTGCTGGTTTCTGTTTCCTGAATTCTTATTGTGGAAGGAAACATTAACTAATAAAAATGTTAGGAGAGCAGCATTCCCAGAGTAGACTGGAGTCAAGCCTGAAGGTAATTCCGGTAGGACTTATGGACACACCTTTCTTCAAAGTGCTGTGCCTTGGGTTGGTGTCTCAGAAGATGACCCTGAGCCAAGAATTCAGAGGCAAGTGCTTTATGATGGCTATGTTCCAGGCAGAAGACAGGAGGAGGCTGAGGGAGGCAGGAAAGGTCCGGAAAGGGACTGAGCACAAGTTTGATTTTGGGTGAAGACCTAGCTTTGGTTTTGTTACTAGCTTTTGTTACTGGGGTGCTGGAGTCTCAATCTGGAGGTGGCTTCTAGGTCTTTCTGTCCTTAGCAAAGAATTAGTCAAGATAAGTGCAAACAGTAGCAAAGTTTTCTTAAAGGCAGGAAAAGAAATAGGCTCTGCAGAGTGAGTTTGGGCCAACTAAAAGGAAAAAGAAGTGTACCCTGTAGTGTGAGGGTGGCCATTCATGCAAGAGAGAACACAGTGGCTAAAAGCTCAGTGTGGACTGTCCTTTTTGTATCATTCACTCCTCAGGCTGACATGTGGTCTAGGCTTTCCTGTGCAAAACCTGTTCGAGTTTTGCCAAGAGGTCCACATGCAGGACTTTGGGAACTGTTCTGCGCATGTGTTCCAGAATCTTGTCACTCCCCCTTTCCCAGGCAGTTTTAGCTACATCCTACCTTCCTGTCTCAGTTTGACCTGGAGCAAACCTCTGGAGCTCAGGCTTTGTCTCTCAGAGGAGAAAGACCTGGGCCCCAGCACTTGTCAGCCAAGGGCACAAGCCACTGAGGGACACAGATGCCCAAGACATTTCCACTCTTGGGGAAGAGGTGGCTCCAGGAGCTTGGGGAATTACTCTGAGCAGATCATAGTTATAAGCTGTCAGCAGGAGCCAGCATGGATACCTAGCACCAGGAAGGAGATCCAAGTGGACCTGGGTGGGCACCAGAGGGACCAGCTGCAAATGCCCACCCCATCCGTTCCTGTCTGCTTCAAGCTCATTCAACATGGTTAAAAAACCATTTGACCTAAAGTGGAATGTAGGGCATGGTATACACATGTAGAGTAGGCAAAGACCCTAGCATGATAGAATGAAGGGTCATTTTCTCTCTCTTGGTTATAGGATTTCACTAAGTAGATGAGCTCTTCAAGAAGGCTGAGAGGGCCTTCTGTTGAGCCTGCAAAGAGCTTGTGGAGAAGTGGGCATTCCCTGCCCAGCCCACTCCCTCTAGGCGATGGTTGTGTATTTGAGCCTGAGCAGGCTGCTGTTTTGCCAGCCCGGGCAGGGGCAGGAGAGCCTCTGAGATTGAAAACAGGATTGAGTTTAATTCTTTATGGTCCTATCTCAGCAGCTGGCTTCATTTATCTTTAACGAGTTTACATTTCTCAGCTGTGCACTTTGCCCAACTGACTTTTAAGACCAAGGAGTCTGTTTTAGGTGTGAATCTCTGAAACCAATCTTGTGTTTTGCATAGCTCTGGTCTTTGCAGCAGTTCACTGGGTAGGGTCTGAGGAGGTTCTCAATGAGTAGATAAGGAACACAAACTGGCTGTACCCACAGAATAAGTTTGCAGGTTCGCTGACTCCTGTCTCAGAAAAAGAATTTTCAGAATGCCTTAATATAGAGCATAAAGGGATTTATTGGGAGAAATTACAAGAGAGT